TTTTAATGTCTGCTGCTTTATGGTAAGGATATGTAAGGGTTTATATTCACAGAATATGTTAACACTTAAAAACCCTTTTTAATTGTGAGAACTACAGTGGTTGTATGCAAAGAAGAACAAAAATTACGGGACCTGCAATAATTAGAGTATAGACACCGTCTTTTTTTTTTTCTTTTCTATGAAGGAAGTATGTCTCCTTTGGCATTTGCCCTAACTTTTATACAAATTCAAAGGACTATTCAGTAGATAGCAAGTGTTATATAGCCCACTAATGTAAATTGTGTCTACTTGTTCTGCTTTCTGTAACACTGAGATAGAAACTGTAAGGCAGAAAATTACTTTCTTCTATATGTTCAGTGAATCACTCTAAAACAGCATGTGAGATTTTCCACTGAAACACTGTTCTACTCTAAGCTTAGGAAATAAACAGAGAAGGCTTCTTTATCAACAACAAAAAAAATGGTTGAAGATATTAAATGTATCTGATTCCAAAATTACCAAATTACTCTGAAAGTCTTCTCTCTTACTTTCCAAGCGAAATATCAGAATTGTATTAGCTTACAATTCTCATTAGAAGTCTAGTTTAAAATACACTAACATTTGCTACTATATCCTACAGAAGTCCCCTCACAAAATATTGTCTATCGGTCATCCTAAATGAGGTCACGCAGCAGTGAGTACTTGATGAATTTCAGCGGCGGATTGTCTTTAATGGCATCGGTAAACTAGATCTCATGTATATTTTTGCAACCTTCTACACACAGTAATTTGAACACTTAAAATGTGCCATAATAAATGTACACTGGCTATGTAGGAGAATGTTATTTAAGGATGATGTATCACGATGTCTGTAGCTTACTTTAAGATGATTCAGTGGAGAAAAAAATGTATATACAAATAGCCATAGATATAGGGAGAGAGAGACAGAAAGCAAATATGGCTTGTATTATAGATGATGTGTATATGGATATTCATTGTACTATTCTTTCAACATTTTTGTATGTTTGAAAAATTTACGTTTTAAAATATTTTAAAATGAGATTGCTACACCTTACTGGTTGGTCCTTAAAAGTAGATTTAAAGAGTTTAATTATTAAAACATAAAGAGAAGCAAGACTGTTCATTTTTCTAGAAATGACTTTTCACAGTTTATTGTGTGTTCCACATTTTCAATCTTCTTCACATTCAGCACTAATGTTTTCCATCTGAACTGGCTGTGAATAACTAACACTACTAATTAAACAAACTCGAGGACATACAAATTCAAGAAAATTACTTTGGTTTTACACAGTATGCTCTTTTCCACTCTCCATACTTTCTGGACTTTCCCCACATTCACTGTTACTAGACACTAGCTCCATTCACCTCTCCTCTTGAAAATAATCAGGGAGCAGGGCCTGTCATACTTAACACTTATTTCAAACCTCTTACTTAACATACTTAACACAAACCTCATGGGCACTCAAAGTTTATAAGAAAGATTTTTTTTTTTTTTAAGCTAACAGGGTATGTGTGTCTTATAGAAAGTCACGAGCTGGTCGGCTTTTTTTTTTTTTTTTTTTCCTGTTTTGGGGTTCTTTTTTTGGCGGGGGGAGCTATACAAGCTTCAGTGAACCTCAAGGACCCAGCGAAAAACTAAGAAAAAATTTTAAATTTAATCATAATGTCTTCTCCCTTTCTTCTCCAGATTTCCAGAACACCAACATTTTGTGCAGTGGTCAGACAAAAGCCAGTAAAAACACCACCTGCCTCTAAAATTCCTACAATCACTGTCGCAGCCGCTTATTAAAACAAGGTAACTGAACATTTCTATTCATCGTTACTTTTGTTAGATAATAATGACTAATTTTTCTAGGCATATTTTAACTTCAACAATAAATTTACCACCAGGAACTTAGAAAAATGAGTTGCTGGGACAGTGTATAGAGAATAGTGGGCCTGTGCCCTTTAAAATGGTCACTTTCATGAAAAACAAAAGTGGCATGAGGAAATGTTCTAGCTGAAAGAGACTTAGCGAAATAGAAAGCTGAATGCAATGTGTGATCCTGGATTGGATCCTGGACCTTAAAAAAAATAATAGAAATTTTTCTACAAAGGACATTATTGAGACAACTGGAGAAATTTGAATAAGGTATGCATATTGGATAATAGTATTATATTTGTGTTAAAGTTCTTGCTTTTCATAATTCTACTGTGGTTATATGAGTGAATGTCCTTGTTCTTAGGAAACACACACTTCAGCTTTTAGAGGCAAAAGAGCATGATGGCTGTACTTACTCTCAAATAGTTCATAAAAAGATAGTAATATTTGTGCATGTATATGTACATGTGTATGTATTTGGAGGGGGAAAGGGAAGGAAGGGAGAGATTGGGAATGCCAAAGCATAGTGGCAGAATGCTAACCACTGGTGAAAATCTGGGTGAAGGCTATACAGGGGTGCTTTATACTTTCTTACATCTTTTCCAAAAGTATAAAATTATTTCAAAATGAATTTTTAAAAAAATACTTCAAATAAATTCCTAGATTTGCCCAATTAAAAAAAAATGAGTTTCTGATGAATGTAGCTTCCACCAAAATGCCACGCCTTCATTTGACCAATGACTACTTAAAATTCTCTCTACTTTCATGACATGAAAACCCCTTCACAAAGTATGCTATTAAACTGTCTAAATTTGGAAAACATCTGGCCTGTCAAGTTATTTGGGGGGGCGCTTGTGGTTTTAAGTGTATTGTTTGAGGTGGTGTATTTGGAAAGAATTCACTTATCATTCTCAGGCTTCATAGAGAACTAGCCCTGAAAACAAATGTATGTGGTAGTTCACTGCTACCATAGAGAATCAATAGCCATCTATTTAATTTGCTAAGACAATGTAAATTAGTAACTTCCAGCCAGATGTGTGATATACACATCAAACAAACTGCAACCTGTTCGTTATGAAAATCTTGTCAACACACACAGAGCCACTTGATGACATTCCATCTAAGGCAGTTTCCACATTTGCAGCTATAAAAATTGTCCTAAGAATTTTTGTACAAAGAATTGGAGCTGAGCCTCATAAAAGGGTAATCAATTTCAGCTTTTCAACTTGTGTGCTTCTGTGTGTTTATTTCTACTTTCATTCAGAGGTATAAAACATTCAGGAAAATGTGTGCGATGTTATTTTTCCCTCTGTAAATCATTTATCCTCATTACATCTTTTTAATCTGATGTAGAGTTGGGAGCCTAATCCTGCAGCTCTGAAGAAGTGTGTAGAGTGAAGAATGACAGAGTCAACAGAAGAAAGAAAGTACACTTATCCCCTGGAAAACAAAACAGAATATTTCAAAATGACTCTAAACATAAATTAAGTTTACCCATTGGGAGGTCTAACTTGCATTCTGATCATTTATATGGGGCTGTGTGACTATATACCTGCTGTTTGATAAAAAATGATTATAACCACAGGCACCCACCATAGAACAGAGTGTATGTATAATGCTCGTGATGTCTCAGACATACAAAGCACCTTCTTAAAGAATGTCCGTTTCCTTTCCATGGTGAGCAGACATAATTTTTCACTCTTTAATACTTCTACTCCACAGAGTGGCTTATTTTATGAATTATGTTTTGCCATTTTCTCTTACGTTTATTTTAACAATATGAAAAACTGCATTCATAAAATAGATGGTTTTGTTTCATGGTACCCCAAATACTGGTATGTTTTCTGCTCTCCGTTAAAATCCACAGCTCTCTTGCTATTACAAGAACCTAACAGTATTTGTTTTAATACCACTTACTAAAAGGAAAGAAATAAAAAGGTTCTTCTTAATAACCAGCTATTATTCTTGAATACTGAATCCTCATTTAAACCAAATTCATTTTCCAAGCCTACTGAATTAAATTTTCTTATTAAACAGGGCACAGAGTAAATAATCTTATTGCCAAGCATAATATTTCCAACTACTACATTTTTAATTTGTTAATTTAAAAGAACGTGAAATGAATCTACTCCTCATGGCCAATAGTGCAGTCTTATTCCAAATAGCACCCTTTAACCAACTTCCTAATGTCAAAGTAGCATTTCTACTAAGTGCCCTGGTGTGTCAATGCTTCCAAAGTAAATAACTGCTGAGGTAACCTAAAATCACAAGAATTTCAACCTCTACCAAAAAGAAAAAAGAAAAAAAAAAAAGGTAACTCTGCACACAAAAGGGTTCTTCATAAAGGCTTCAACCCCAAGCAATTTTATTTTCACAAACATTATACAGAACAGAACGTGCTTTCTTCACGAGGGGCACACCAGGACACGTGGTCAGCCTGCAGGGCCACACCGCTAACCAGAAATGATTATCGTTTCTAGAAAGAGTAAGGCTCCAATGCAGCCACCGAGGCCGCCCAGCCAGCCGCGCCCGCAGGTGGCACCGCGAGGCCGGCTCCTCACGCAGCGAGGATACTGCACAACAAGCCGGGCCTGGGCGTCCGCCAAGACTTGCAGTCTTAGCTCAGGTCGGGTCCCTTTGCCTTCTGGAGGTTAAAGTTAGACCCTCCTGGTCACTTAAACCCCCTTTGTGGTTCAAGGAAGGAATCACTCTCTCAGAACTCTTAACTTTGATTGGAGACTCTGGTTAAAATTAAGAACTTCAAACCCAGCTTTGAAAAAGTGAAACAGATGTCCTGTTTATTAACTATAAACGGCTCCGTACGTGGGACCCTCCTCTCCCTCTCTTTCCTGCCGCATTGTTTTATTTAATGCAGAGTTAGATTAAAAGGTTAAAAGAGAGCGAGTAGAAAGCAAATATGGACTGTGGATGGGAAAAGTCCTAAATCTTCCTCTAGAACGTAAGAAAGTCTCTTCATAGCGGCGGAAGTGCTGGAGCTGCCCCTCAGCCAGCGCTCAGGGTCAAAACCGGCGTCCCCGCGGACCCCAGTCTCACCTAACACGGCCATGCCCACCACCTGCACCCTCGTGGAAACCAGGGTCGCCTGCAGTGGGCAAAGGGGTCCCAGACTTGCACTCACGTGAGGACATAGTTGACGCTGACGATACAGTGCGGCCTGGACGAGCGGCTGTTGTGCACGATGGTCGCATAGCTCTGCACCCACACCCAGCCGCCGTGCTTCGCCAGGAACCGGTAGTACTTGGTGGTCACCTGCCCCTTTACCAGCACTGATGGAGAGACACAAGGCAGCTGATAGTGAACGGACCCTCTCCTGAACCGGTCCAAATGTAATCCCTGGCGGTGGGAGGGCGGGTCCCCCGTGAGCCCTGATAACTGCTCCCAGGTCAGGAGAGAGAGAACGTTCCTAAAGGAACCGACTGTCCTGTTTATTTGCATCGAGTGCTCCGGTCCCTCACGGTTAGCAAGGAGGGCAACACCTAAAGTTGGGGGATTCCCGGCACTCGATGTTCTACCTACGGAAGGGAGGGTCTGGGCCGCTCAACTCCGATGCTCACGTTCCCTGTCTCGGAGATTAAACTCAAAGCAAAGCTGTATCCAAAGCTGAAGCGAGTCAACGCGCGTGAGCCAAGTGGCCGAGCCTCGGTTTCCGCTTCCATCTTAGTGGGGGAGGGGGGCGGCTACAATAGGAGAACAAGACCCCTCCTGGGAGAACTTCACTCAGAAACTCAGAGGCTCTCCCTCGGCCTGTGTGAGGGCCCGCAGATGAGGAGGGAAATGAGGTGGGACGGGTGCTGGGGCAGGCGCCCGCAGGGCCTCTCCTACCATCCCCCCACCCCTCCCCCCACCGTCCTCCGCCCCGGGCCGGGCAGCGTGGCGCCTTACGCAGGTGGTGGGCGCAGCGCAGGTGGAAGGTGTCGCAGCCGTGCACGTGGTGGTACAGGGTCTTCTCAATCAGGTCCTGAGGCTCGTACCCCGTCAGCTCCGCCACTCTGCGGAGAGCAACCCCGGCGGGATGAGCGCGGGCTGCTGGGCCGTCCCCGCCCTCGACAGCCGCCTCAGCGCTGGGCGCCCACCCTCACTTTATAGGGCCCTGTCAGTCGCCTCATCTGCAAAATGGGCTCACAAGGTAGACGAGGAGCTCTCAGTGACTGAGTGGGGGCCGCCCTCCCTCTAGGGGTGACCCCTTCCCGCCCTGACCGCCTACCTGGAGTCCAGGAAGATGAGCTTCATATCCAGGCTGGCGCGGAACATGAACATGTTGCTGTGCAGCTTGATCTCCGTGACGGCGCTGGGAGGCAGCGAGTGGCCCACGGCCACCAGGCCCACGTTCTGGTAGCAGCCGTCGAAGGGGGACATGTCCAGGCTGTACTGGCGGATCTTCAGGTAGCCGCTGCAGTGAATGACCTGAGGCGGACGGCGGAGGGCGGGAGACTCAGCCACAGCCAGGAAACATCCAAAAAGGGGGTGAAGGGATTGAAACATTTGGAGACGCTCCTCGGCCACAAACGCCTGTGGGCCACGCCCGCGCATTGAAGTGTCCAAAGTTATTGGGGCTCCAACGTGTCTCAAGGGAACGACTGTACTGCCCCAGTGAGCTCAGTTGGGAGCTGAGGAAAATGCAGAGGCCTGAGCCCGGTCAACCCTAATGCGTCCGGATCGCGAAGTGGGGCCCTGGAACCTGCATTCTGATCATGTTTAGTGCTTATTAAACAAGAAAAACTTGGATTCCGGCTAAAGCGCTGGTTCTTAACCTCTGGCAGGGGAGGGGGCAGAATCTGACGCTGTGAGTAAACTCTACGAATCCACTGAAGTTACCGACCGTTTCAGACGCTTTACACACCCCTAAGGCCCATTGCGTGTCCCAGGTTAAGACCCCCAGCGGCCAGGCAGCGCCCGGACCCAGTGAGACGTAGGCAATCTTAAAACGTAGTCCCCAGGTGCTCGCGAAGTTTAATGGCCCTGACGGTGCGCCCGGCGCTGTGACGCGTGCGGGGCACTGTGGTCCCGGCGGCCTGAACCTCCCTCCCACGCCGCCGCACGCGCCTCTGGTCCTGCCCCGTTAACCTGCACCAGGCTCGGTGGCCGCGGCCGCCACGGGGCGTGGATTTCTCCTCTCAGCCACGCACCTTGTAGCCGCCGCAGGTGAGGCCCGCGTTCCTCTTGGCCAAGACGCACTTCATCCTCAGGAAGAAGGAGCGCTCGATCTCGTACTCTGGAGAGAGGAGCGGACGGAGGCGCAGGACGTGAGGCCGGCGGCGCGGCGCCATGTCCTTGCCACGGCTAACGGAGGAAGAGCTACCAGGGACTGCGATGGGCCGGAGTGTCGCCGGCGCGCGTCCACCTTACCCTGGACGAAGTGAGAGTGGTAGGGCTGGTGGGCAGTGAGCACCGCCGTCATCTCGTCGTGGTCCGCAGGGTGGATGTATTCGTAAATGCTGTTCCCGGTCAGCTCTACCTGTAAAGAGGGGGGTATCACCGTCTCCGAGGAGGTGGGATGCCCCACGGAGGGTCCGGAAGATTGAGCCGGAGGTCTGCAGGGCTATGAGGACAGGAGCCACAGCTCTGGAGTCGGTCCTGAGTTCTAATTCCAGTTCTGCTGCCTGCTACCTATTGCAACCTATCTAAGCCTCAGTTTCCTTATCTATGAGAGGAAAGAATAATAATAGTAATTCAAGTAGTAATAGTAGTAGCTTCCTGGCAATGTTCTGGTGAAGACATCACAACATGAGTATGTAACCACCTCCCATGATCTTTGGCTTATGGTAGCAGCTCAAAAAGGTAGCCATTGTTTGGGCTTGGGGTGGATGCTAAAGGATAAGTAGAGAAAGAGGGAGATCCAGACCTCCTGCCAGCTGAGATGTTTCCAGTCCCAGAAACACCTATAAAAGCTTTGGGAAAGCCCCACCCCAACCCTACCTCCAGCCTCCAGCCCTGGCTGTAAACATTGAAGGCTGGAGGTGTGGACCACTCACCTACCTGAGAAAGACCCAGGTGGACTGAGGCTGTCTCCGAGATGTACATGATCTTCCCATCTGGGGCCACCACAAAGATGAAGCCATCCAAGGTCTGGGGAGACAGAAACCATTGAATGGGGAGCCCTCTGGGCCATCGAGAGAAACTGGGGGGGGGGGTACAGAAGTTAAGAGATGTTCTGCCAGAAGTGCAGAGTGATGGAGTAGACAGGGCCTGGCAGGAAATAGGGCAAAGAAAACCAGCCACAAGAGTGTCTCTTTTGTTCATCCCAACTTTGTAAGCATGGGACATGCGGCCCCCTAGGAGAGACTCTAGGAAGTGGTGGACAAGGCTACTGCCCTCCAAGACTGAGGGTTCACCAAAATGGACAAAGCAGACATATCTGGAACATACACAAACATTCTGGGGGGGGGGGGAATCACAGCCTGGGATAAGAGGGGGGTTAGGTTCTTGGGGTGATGGTCACTGAGCAAACCAGAAGGTTCCTGTGTCAGTCTTGGAGAGTTTCAGAGTGGGACATTCTATAATGGAAAGAGGGCTAGCAGGGTTTGGAAAATAGTAGGCACTGGGAGATGTGGAAGGGCTGGCAGTTTGAAAAGTTTGTAGATAGAAGGCAGCTGGCCAGTGGCTCTGGAAAGAGTCCAGGAGAGGGGGATTTAGGAGATGGGAGGCTTTCCCGGCAGCAAGTCCATAGAGTGGTGCTACAGTGTGTATGTGTGTGTTTACATTGATGCATCAAACTGGCAGGTTCTCCATGAAGAAAAGTCTTAGATTTTGACTGTTCCTTTATCTCTGTGAATGAGGCTTCAGTCCAGGCAGTGAAGCATAAGGATGAGTCAGATCCTGCTCTCAAGGATCTGGAAGTCCAAAAGGGACAACTGGCCTAAAGACAGATATAATGAACATACAGCTGAATAGACAGTGCTGTGAGGGCCTGGAGACTGAGTGGCCAGAGGCCTGGGGGAGAACCAGAGTGGCTTTAGGAGAGCTGTTTGAGCAGAGCCTTGAAAAGGAAGCTTGAACATGAGAAGGGAGGACGGGCATCCTAGGCAGAAGGAATGGCGTATGGAAAGCAGGGACTGGGGGTGGAGGGTGGATCTGGTGTATTCAGGTTTGATGAGTTTGGTGTACCAGAGATGAGGCTGAGGGACTACACTGGTGCTGGATTTTTGGAGAGTTTGAGATGTCAGTCTGTGGAATTTGGAGATGCTCCTGCAGGCATCAGATTCCAACAGAGGTTTCTAAGCAGGGAAATAGCATGCTTAGATGTGGTTTTTTTGCTTTTGTATTTTTTCTCCTGGAAGAATGTGGACAGTGATCTATAGGAGGAAAGAGTGGAAGTGAGGAGATCAGAGATGGTCAAAGCTGAACTTGGGTGGTCACAAGGAAGACGAGATGGGGGAAGAGTCTAAGTCAAAGGTGGTCTGGCTGTTGTGGAATTTGTGGTGGCAGAAAGAGAAGCTGAGACTGACTTCAAGATCACTGAAAATTTAGGGAGGCCTGGTGAGTTTTTGTATGAGTGGAAGTCTAGAAGAAGGAGATAATGAATTCTTGTCTTAGGTATGCTAAACTTCAGGTATATGCAGATTTCCATTTGGATGTGTCCAGTTGGCAGTAGGAAATAAAGGTCTGGCTCTCAGGAGGGGTGTCTAGACAAGAAACCAGTGGGGTCATGCAAATGAGAGGAAAGGAGTTGAAGTGGTGGTGTTGGTTGAGGTTGAGATAACCCAGGAAGCTGTGAGAGGAGAAACAGAGCTGGAACCTTGGGGGGAATGCCGGCATTTACAACCAGACAGTAGTGGGAAAACCTAGAAAAGCAGGCAGAGAGGGAGAAGAATCCAGGAAATTGTGCTACTTTAGAGACCCACGGAGAGGCAGAATGTCAAGTAAGCAGTGTCACCTCCATCCAGTCTTTGCCCAAATGTCACCTTCCCAGTGAGGTCCTCTGCAACCATCCCCATTTAAAACGGCACCACTCAAACACGGCTCGCCTCCTTCACCTTCTTTTTCTCCATGGCATCTACACCACCTGTCATACCATGCTGTGCACCTGTGTGGATTTGCAAGGCTGCTCTCCTCAGAATGTCAGCTCCATGAGGGCAGGGCTTTCTGTCTGGCATACAGTTGGGCCTCCTATGTTTGTGGAATGAACATGGTCAGGTGTGATAAGAGATGAGCATCTTATGCTGGATATCAAAATATTGTGAAGCCTGTGCAGAGCACACCAGCTGTGAGAGATGCCAGAGTGCAAGCGGTGTGGGAGTGAGGGGGGCAGAGTAAGCAATGGAAATTAGGAGGATCATTAAGTCCTACAAGGAGTTTGGGATGAACACTAGGAAAAAGACTGGGCAAGAACTAGAAGAGGTGAAGGACTGTTTGGGTTTTGCTCTCTTGTTTACGTTGATGAGGAAAGTTAGCTGGGAATATGGAGAGCTTTGGGTGGGGGGTCAGTTGTTGAGAGACAACTGATGAAAGACAACTTTCTCTCCCCTGAGAAAGGGGAGAAACAGAATCGTTTTAGTTAAATTTGGAGGCATGGAGGCCAGGCCTGGGAGGGAATGCTCACACAGGGCCTCTCTTTGCTCTATGAAACTAAAATCTCTTTGGGCCTCTGGGATTGAAGGAGGCACAGGGTAGTGATGGGACAGGAGAGGCCACGGCACTCCTGCCATGAGATGCTTCTCATGTCTGGTCCAGGAGGGAGACGGGCTCAGAGACCCCAATCCGATGCTGCTCAGGTTTGAGGCTCCCACGGGAGGAGCCCGTGGTGGACTTGAATAATAAGAATAAGGGGGTGCAGGGTGGGATAAAAGTGTCAAGCCTAAAAATGCCCCCGGAAGTTTTACTATTTTAAATATTTGCTAGGCGACTTACGCGGGCAACGGGCAATTTAAAACGGTGTACACTGCAAAGAGCGCGGTAATGGGCGCCACCACATTGGATAAACTCATTACTCAGGGAGGTGTATGTGAGTACGCGCGAGGCCCGGGCAGGCCTGGGGTGAGGGCGCGTGGAGAGAGAGGAGGGATCCCGGGGGCTACAGGGAGGTGGTGAAACGAGTTGCGGACGCAGCTGGATCCGGGACATGTGGACTTAAAGCACTGACGGGCATTTCTACCAGATTCCCGTTATTTCCTGGATAAATTCTTCATTTGGGACGGTTTTGCAGCCCGGCCTCGGCAGCTTGGCCTCTGGTTCCCTCTGCTGAATGGCGTCAGATGGCGCCCCCTCCCTCCGTTCAGCCGTCCTGATTCGGGCCTTACCGGGCTCCCTTCCAAACCCAACGCGCCGACTGTCACCTCGAGAGGCGCCTTCCACACCCAGCGAGGTTAAGAGCTAAACATTTTAACTCTACAAGGAGTCGTAAGGGCTGCGAAACGGCCACCTCTGGACGGGATCCCATTTGCCGGGAAACAAGAATCCTGGCTCGGGGGCCGGCACCCGGGCCCTCGAAGCACGTGCGCCGCCGGGAGGCCCAAGTCAGTACCTGGAGCAGGTGGGAGCCCAGTTCGCGGCCTACGTTGTCCAGGGGGCTGGTCCTGCTCGAGTGGCCCCACGCTTCGCCGAGCCCTGTGGAGACACAAAGACACCCTTAAAAGACGCACTCCGACCCGGCTGGCAGTTTGAAACGTTTCGCGGTTTTGTCACCCAGGCAAGCTTGCACACACGACCCGATACCACCGGGGCTCCCTCCCCACCTAGACCGCAGGGACGCGAAAGGGTAAATGACGGCTCTGCCCGCTCAGCTTCTAACAGGTTTAACAGAAGTGAGACTCCCTCTCTGCTCGACCAGCCTGGGCTTCTCAGGAAGGGCAGGGTCCTGGCTGAGCGCTCCTACCCCGCCCCCCCCCCCCCC